GGCCCCAGTGTACATGGTAGGCATTTCCTTCAGGTCATGCACAGTGAAGTGAGAAGCTGGAATTTTAAAAAATCGCACCAGCCCTTTTTAGCTGTAATGCACGTAGTATTTTCAATTACACTGTACAATCTGTGAGGATTACCCGCCTTCACCTGGGAGCCTCCCATGTCCTTCCACCCCTGCTCTGAGGAACCTCTTCTCACTCTGCCCCTAAAGGCAAGTTCTGGCTGTTGATTTACAGGAAAAGAACCAGTTGCTCATTAGTGTGTCTGATCTTGGACGTGAGGCAACTGAAAATACCATACCTGGGGTCCAATGCACATTAGACACCAGAGGTGATTTGTTTAAGGGTTTTGCCCCAGATATGTCCAGTGTATTATATTGTTCATTTTTTTTACTCAAAGCCCAACTCAATTCAAGAAGAATGAAATCTTCCACAATTTCCATTTCTTTTCTTCCTGTTGTGTTGTTACATGCCATCTGTCAGCCCTGACTCGTAGTGACCCTGTGAACAAAAGCTCTGAGTCATCCCCTGTCATGAGTCAATTTCACAAGCACACCTGACACCATTGCCACAGTCACTGTGTCAGTGCATCCCAGCCAGGGCCTTTCTTGAACCTTCCACGCACAGTGTCTCTCTCCAAGGACTGGCTCCCCCTGGCAACATGCCCAAAGTATGTGAGACAGAGTTTGTCTCCTTGCTTCCAGGGAGCAGCCTGGTCCCACCTTCTCCAGGACAGACCCGTTTGTTCTCTTAGCAGTCCCTGGTGGTTCAGCACTCTTCTCCAGCACCACAATTCAAAAGCATTGATACTCTGTTGTCCTTAGTCATTGTCCAGCTCTCTGATACATATAGTAAGATGACCTTGGACGTGATGAGGAACACCTTAGTTTTCAGATTTACATCATTACTCTTTAGCCCCTGACAACAGATTTTGGTTGTAAAAATTTTTGGTAATGTTCATTTTATTTTTAATATGTTCAGATATAATCCATATTAACAAATTGTGGCTGTAACATTGAGAAGAATGAGAATCCCAGAACACTTGATTGTGCTCATGCAAAACCTATACTTGGACCAGGAAGCAATCTCCAGAACAGAGCAAGGAAACACTGCATGGTTCAGAATCAGAAAAAGAGTGAGTCAGGGATGTGTCCTGTCTCCATACCTTTTCAATCTACATGCAAAAGAGATCATTCGGGAGATGGCTTTATGAAGAGGAATGCATCATTAAGATCAGAGGAAGACTCTTGATTATACAGATGACACAACCTTGCTCACTGAAACTGAAGAGGACCTGAAGCATCTGCTGCAGAAAGTCAAGGACTGTTGCCTTCAATATGAATTGAAGCTCAACATCAAGAAAACAAAAGTGTCTCACCACTGAACCAATTGGCAGCATCATGATTGATGGAGAAGAGGTTGAAATTGTTAACAATTTCATCTTACTCAGGTTCACAATCAACACTCTTGGGAAGTCAAGAAATCAAAAGTCAAAATTGCACTGGGAAAATCTGCTGTCAGGGACCTCTCCAGAGTGTGAAAGAACAGGATGTCAGTTGAGAGACTGAGGTGCGCCTGATCCAAAGGCATGATCTTCACAGTTACTTTGCTGTGCATCAGAGAGCTGAACTAAAGATAACAGAAGAATCATCAGCGCCTTTAAATTGTGATGCTAGAGAAGACTGTTGAACATACCATGGACTGCCAAAAGAGCAAACTGGTCTGTCTGAGAGAGGGTGAAACCAAGTTGCTCCTTGGAGGCAAGGACTTGGAACTCCATCTCACATACTTTGAGCATGTTGCCAGGAGGGACCATTCCCTGGAGAAGGGACATCATGCCTGGAAGGGTGGAGGGATGGCACCTATCAGCAAGGCTGTGGTCTTCCAACTTCATCAGTGACCTCTCCTTTGAGCAAATGGGGCTGAGCATTTACCTGTCATAGGTTATTAATGAACTCTAGTGCTGATACCACCCTCTTCATACAGTCCAGCTTTCTGCAAGAAATGCTCAGCATCCAGGTTGAATAGTAGAAATATAATGAAAGGATACAAACATTTTCCATTTAACCCCAGTGACTGCCTCTTGATTCACGTATAGGTTCTGCATGAGCACAGTTCTTTCCTGGAATTCCCATTCTTTGCCATATTATCCATAAGATAATGTGAAGACATTCAAGTACGGGTCACAGCATCAGTGGGGCATAGTATTGTCAATTCTTTTGTGTCATGGGAAAGTTGATTAATAAAAAGTAAGATCAAAGAAGTAGAGAAGCTTTCAAATGGTGATGCTAGTCCTGAATGTTGTCTAGACAGTGGGCTTTGTGTGAGGTCATGCACAGCCGGGGTGCTCCTTAGACGTGAAGGCAAGAGACTGGTCTTGTAGGGACCTATCATCAGGAACACCTGGTTCCTGGAAAAGGACGTTGTGCCTGGGCCAAGGGGACCCCCCATGAGGTGGACTGTTCCCACCATGCATGGAGGCCAGCATTGAGAGCACTCACTCACAGGGCGCCCCCTGAAGGGGGGTGTTGGGTGTGTTAAGCTGCATCTCTCCGGTCCCCTAGACAGACGGGTGCACACAAAGCACTTCCGCCAGGGTTGGAGGACGAGGCCGTCCTCGCGCAGCTGTGCAGCTCTGAGCTTGGAGGGCATCGTTCAGACAAACGGGCGCATTCAGAGCTGGGTCCTGGCAGATGCTTTTCCACAAGTGTCGGAAGTGATGCTGTCACTTTAAAGAAACAAGTGACTAATCATGGAACTGGATGTTTCAAGTAAGAATTAAAATGTTGGATAACTTGTATCTGCTTCGTTAAGCTTTCACCCCCTATATTTAAGAAGATTTTTTCCCCCTGGTGATTCTCCATTTGTGTGTGAAACGGGTGCTAACATCTGAGAGAACTCTTAGCTGGTGTTGGCCAGATGCCCCGCCCATGCTGTCAGATCCCAGCCCTCGGTTGCGGAGCCGGTGCTTGAGAGTGCAGCTCTGTTAGGGCAAACCTTCCAGCAGTGCTCAGCCACTCACTAAGCATGGTTTCAGGAAAAGTATTTTTCAAAATATCTTACATACTAGAAATTATCTTAATTTCTAATGTACCGTAATTATCAGTAGATAAAATCTGCAACCGGAGACTGTGCTTGGCAGCCACAAGGTTTGAAACAGTTGTCTCTAGAATCAGCGGAGTGGTACATTTTTGTTCAGTATTTTACTCCCTAACCACCCACTTTCTGGCTGGGCTCTCTGTGGGTCTTAGGTGTGTGCTCGCCCTCTGCCGCCTCTCTCTGGCCTTTCCCACAAATAAACAGACCCCGAGAAAGACTGGGAGAAGAGGGCCATCCAGGCCCTGCGGTCCCCTCAAGTCCGCGGTGTGCGAGGGAGGGAACCCCTTCCCTTGTCTCAGCAGGAGGCAGCACAGACTAGCAGGAGCCTGGGCTGGCTTTGGGCTAGGGCCCTGCGCTCTGGCTGCTGCCTTGCTGTGATGCATGCAGATGAGATGCACTCTGGCAGGGCTGCTACTAGGCACATGCTGGAACATGAACTTGATGGATTCCCGAAAGCCTCCTTGTCCTGGCATGTCCTCTCTGTGCTCCCGGCCCAGTGGTGCACGCTGCATTTCCCATGGACACTGTGGTGGCAGCAAGCTCGCTGGGGCACTTGTCCTCCAGGTCTGCATGCCTGAGCTGAGGGAAGGCAGGCAGTTCCAGCCTCCTTCAGTAAGGCTAGGGCCCCATCAGAACAGACCCTTCGTCCACGGAGGCTGCAGGGCTGGCAGCTCTTTCAGCAGTGAGCTCTGTGCCCTGCTCTCCCAGCTTTGCTGTGGCACTTGCTCCCATCATGCAGGCAGGCCACGTCCCACTGTCATTGCAAGAGGAGCCATGGCTGCACTCGAGGCTGAGGAAGCCAGAGCCTGGGCAGGAGAGTGGACAGGCCACAGGCTTGGCTCACTTCTCACAGGCACCTGTGGGGATATCCCAGTCGGCTGACCCACTCCTTGTTCTCAGGGTCTGAGCCACAGGTGGGGCTTCATTTCCATCTCCCTGTTGTCTGGTCTGCACTGTTTTTCTGGCGCTGGGTCTCTGCTCGCTGGGTGGGATTTTCTTACACTCCTTGTCCCTCCCCTAAACACCCCACAAGAGGAGTGGTACACCCCGCTGAGAGACCACTGGCAAGGCACCGGATGGTCTCTTCTCACAAGTAGAGAGCTGGAGTTCCTCATGAATGGATTCATCTCCCACGCACTCGGTCTAGGTTTTCATTCTGTGTACTGTCTGCCCTCAAGCTCTAGTGGCCTAGTGGTAAAGGTACTGCACTGCCAACCCAAAGGCACGTGGTTTGAATCCACCAGCTGCTCCATGGAGCGAGATGGGCAGTCTGCAAGTTATAGCCTCTGGAAACACGCTGGAGGATCGTTTATGAGTCATCCGACTTAAAAGCAGTGAGTGAATTTGTTTATCTAGTCTGTTGGATTCTGTGTGGCATCCAGTGCTTCTCTTGTGGAGGACTTGGTCTACTGAGGGCTTTTCTCAGATGGATGGATTCATTTGCCCTTTGATGAGCAGCTCAGTTATTTCACTTTTTTACAAAGCTGTTAGCGTTTTCTTAATCTGCTTTTCTTATCTGTCAGGTTTGCGCATTCCTGGTTGGCTGGTCAGGATAGGGCATCCACTGGGACCAGGAGGGACAGGCCAGCGTGGCCCCCGTGCTGGGTGCAGTGCAGCCACACAGGCCAGGACCCTTGCTTGGGGGCTTGGCAGCTGTCCCAATCTCTTGAGAGGTGATGTTTTAGGATCCCCACTCCTTTGAGGTGCCAGAGCCAAGGAGGCAGTGGTGTATGGGAGTTGAGCTGTGAGGAACTCCCAGTGGGGCAGTTAGCACTCCTCCAATGGGGAAGGATTTGCTGAGAGTGGAGGACACTGTTCCCACTAGGAGCCTCGGCCTGTCATTGCCAGGAGAGATGGTGATGCTGCAGTAGACTTGAAGCTGTCATTTCTTTTCCAGGATAAAGATAAAGTTTCTCTAACCAAGACCCCAAAGCTAGACCGGAGCGATGGCGGGAAGGAGGTGAGAGAGCGCACCACCAAGCGCAAGCTGCCCTTCACCGTCAGCGCCAATGGAGAACAGAAGGACTCGGACACAGGTGGGCCTCTGTGGGGATACGGCCCTTCAGTCAAGAGGGTACAAATGGGTGTGATGGCTGTGGACCCTCAAGCCACCCCATCCCCATACAGAGACACACAACCCCCTGCTCCCCCCCACCATGGCCACCTGGGCAGCAGAGACTTGGGTCCTTGGGGAGGGCCTTGTCCACAGGCTCCAGGAATGGGGGATGTGGAGGCTGTTGGACCAGGGACGGGGGAGCTGCCTTTGGATGCCCCTCAGAAGAGCTGAGGAGGAGGTTGGGGAGCCAGAACATGCCTCCTGCCTGGTTTTTGCAGTAATGGTGTGTCACCAGTTTCCTATGCAGGATGTAGGTCAGTGCTTGGAATACTCAACAAAAAGCTGGTAATTTGTACACCTCCCCCCCACCCACCTCCTGGCAGCTCTGAGAGGAAGAGCTGGTGTGGTGTCCGTTTCTACAGAGTGGACAGCCTGGGAACTCTATACGGCAGGCTGCCCTGACATGAGGTCGCTGCAGGTCAGAGTCGACCTGGTGGCACCTCAGATGGAGACACAGCTGATTTCTCAGTCAGACCAACGCTGGGCAACCCTTTCTTAGAAACTGCTGCAGAGGTCAGGGTTCTGTGCCCAGCTGGTCAGTATCCTGGGTATCCTGGGTGTGAGATGCACTGGATTAGCTGTCTAGGACTGGTAACCACTTTAAGTGAGGACCTCTTGTGTGCTTCTGGGGGCTCATGGTCTGTTAGAGGAGGAACTCTGCTAGCAGCACACAAGCTACATCGTGTTTGTCCTCCCTGAGGAGTGATGGACAGTTCAGCCAGCCAGGGCTTCTCAAGTGCTGAGCTGCTTGTGTAGTCAGGAGTGGAGGGCATAGGAAAAGAGAGCTCCTAAGGGGGAGGAGAGAAAAGGGGAGAGGGCCCAGTGAAGTGACTTCAAGCGCCTTGTCCTTTTGCATGTTACCCTAAAATTGTGAGCAACAAAACCAGATTCTCTCCCTCGGTGGCGGTGGTGAGTGGTGCAGCAGTGTCCTACTGATCTGTTGCTGTCTTCTTAATTTCGGCTCTGGGCGGCCAGGTGCTGCAGAGGAGGGTCCCCACCCCTCAGAGGTCACTCCTCTCCTCCCTCCTCCTGTCAACCCTGACTCTTGGTGACCTTGTCAAACAAAAGCTTCTTGTGCCACCATCACACACTTTGATGCTTTTGAGCCACTGTCTGTCCGTTTTCTGGCAGAGGTGGCCCTTGTTTTCTCTGGCCGTCCACTCTGACACTTGCTCCTAGCAAGTCTGCCTCCCCTTCTTCATCCTCAGCAGCTTGCTGGTTGTCATTTATTCATTTGGCAGTGGCAGTATTTGCCACCACCACAACTGAAGTCAAGTCTCCTGCTTCCTATTTCCATTATCCAGCTTTTCCATGTCATGAGGTGGCACGGGTCATCAAAGCCACAGCTTTGCTTTCTCATGATTTAAAAACCACCCTCTGCTGCAGATTAGCCCAGTGCACATTGTGATTTCTTGATTGCTGCTTCTATGGGTGGGGTTTTTGGGCCTGAGGAATCGGACATCTGTGACGGCCTAAAGGTCTATCCCATCTGTCATGCTCTTCATCAGCCAGTTGTCTACCTCCTCACTGGTGTGATTCCACACTGACTGCGAGGATGTTTTCTGCTTGGACGCTACCAGCCTGTGCTGTTGGCCAGCCTCAGGTGTCAGGGAGAGGAGACTCTGGTCTACTGGACAGTGGTAGACCTGGGGGCATCCTGATATTCATGGGTAAGGTGGTTTGGCCAGGTGCCAGGTCTGCAGCTCACTGTGGCCGCGTGATGTCCTCTGCCCCAGTTAGGAGAGCCCTCCCTCCCATGCTACTCTGGCGCCCTCTGCTGAGCATGCCTGGCATTGCATACCATCTAGCGCACCCTGCAAGGTTGGACCTGACCTGAGAGGAAGGCATCCAAAGACAGCCCCCTGATAACTGCTCACTTCCTTCTGGGCATCCCTCAATCCCTAGGAGGGTGCCAGGCCACCACCGCTTCTTCCCCTGCCCCATGAAGCCCCATCCAGGCTGGCACTCCAGACCCTAGAACTAGACTATCATGTCCTCAGGAAGGCTCATGCTAAAGGCCAGTGGCAGCAAGCCCCCTGCCTCCCCTACGTGAAGATTAAGCAGAGACATGCGAAGGCCACATGGTGCCCACCATGACGTTCTGTCTGTGGATTTTTTCTTTCACTTTTCTGCCTGGATCACCAAGGACTTGCCCACTGTTCCCAGTGGACATGTCCCAGGCCTCACAGCCAGGCAGTGTCACCTCAGGCTCTGCTTTCTACGTGGGGATGCCAGAAGGCCTCCCCAGACGCAACAGGTGGCTGCATTTGGGGACACAGAGCATAGCCACCTTGGTGCTGGGAGCATTCACGGAACAATGTCCAAGTGTCTTCGAGGTGAGGTACTGCAGGGAGCGCAGCATGGTGTTCTACATGCAGGGCAGGGGCCTGTCTATACAGGACACATCGACGGCTGCTACCCCTGCACTCTCGCCCTCAGGCCCAACTCGAGGCCACAGCAGACAGGGTAGGTCTGCAGCAGGTTTCAGCCTCCTCTTGTTAAATGACTGGGGTCCTTTCAAGAGCCTGATGGCTTAGTGGTTAATGTGGCGGCTACACCAGAGCAAGTTATTGAAGTCAGTTAAGAATTGATGCCAAGGGCAGATCCCAATTGCTGAGCATGATGAGCTGCCTTCCCTGGAGGACTTAGGTAGTGAGAGGAGCTGTAGGCTAGGGTACTGCCTGCTGGCTGCGCTGAAAAGGGTGGGGCACCGAATGGGACCCCAGCTTAGCCCTCTGCTCAGGCTCCTGGAAATCTTGACTCGGGCCCCAGGGTCCCACTTTACAGAGGCAGACCCTCTGCCTGGCTCCCAGGCTCTTGGACGGGTGCCTTGTGGAGAGTCCGCAGGATGGAACACACAGCTCAAACTCAGTATTTCCAAGGACCGGCCATCGCTGAGCATAGCAGCATGGCGAGGTTGCCTTGAAGCCAGAGCAGGGGCAGCTCCCCTGTAGAAGAGCAGAGCTGGAAGGATAGTCCACAGTAAACCCCATCCCCTTAAGTCCTCTCCCTGCACAGCACTTGCTAGGCCAGCATGGATCTCGAGCAGCTTTGTGGTCCACACAAGCCCAGCACATGTAGCCACCAGGACCACAGCCATGGCCACATGGGCTATATACTCAGCTATGGACATGTGAGCTGCTTTGGAATCTCCTGCCGGGACTGAAAATGAGGCCACTCCAGCTGACCACCTGCTTAACCTCTTGCTTCTGCCACTGGGACATGTTCTAGGAAGACCCAGGAGATAAGTGTGTGGGGAAGGGTGAAAATACAGGTGGGGGCTGCATTGTGCTTCTGGAAGGCTCTGCCAGGGACTGTGGGGCTCTCTGAGCCGTGGAGTTGAATGTTAGGTCAGGTGTGTGTGTGTCTGCCCACCCCAAGTGTCTGTAGGCAGCTGGACCTTTGTAGGGCCCTGGGGAGGGGACGCACTCAGTCATTGTGTAAAGCTCAGCAGGAGGCTGGGAAATAAGGGTGGCCATGGCCCTGCAGTGTCTACTCCAGGCTGGTCAGCTGTGGGTCCTGCTCCGTCCACTGTGGGAGGGATGGCTGTGGGCTAGGATGACGCCAAGGCACCAGTGTTCCCTCAAGTGCCAGCCCCATTCCACACTCACAACAGTAGTGCACAGGGGTCCTGACCCTGCACATGAGCACCATTTTTTATCTTCCTTTATGCTTGCCATCCTGTTGCACTTGAAGCAGCAGGTCATGCGCGTTTTTACTTGCTTTTCCCTGGCCTATGAGTAGGGGTGGCCTTGTAGGTAAGAAGTTGTACTACCAATCCCAGAGGCAGCCACTAACCGCCCTTAAGGAGGAAGGATGGTCACCCTCCTTCCATGTGGTTTACTGCCTCTGAAAACCCATGGGAGGGTCTGCGTGGAGTTGCTTCAGACTGAGTGACACTGGTCTGTGAGCAGGAGCTATAAGTTAAGAAATGAAGTCTGGTTTGCTTGCTGCTCTTCAGTTCTAGAGGGAAGGTGCTTAAGGGGGTGTGTCAGCACACAGGTGTGGACACGTTCTTTTAGCTTCGTGGCTGGTGTGAGGTTGGGCTCCAGTCATTCATGGGAGACCCTCTCACCCCAACATCCTTTCATTAGCTGAGGTGACTATTCTTTCCCTATCTGTGGCCAGGGCAATGCCACTCCTTAGAGAACAGCACAGACTTACCCAGGACTGGCCTCTAGGATGGCCATGGCCATGCCGCACCAATTGCAGGACAGTGCCCGGCCCGGGAAAGTTGATCACATCTCAGGAGTGGGTGTTGCCTAGACCTTAGACCAGGCCAGAGGAGTCTGCCTACAGCAGCTTCTGGGCTGGCCACAACTCCAGGGGCTGGGATGGCTGTATTTCAGGCTCTGTAAAGGGCAACATGGAGTATTTCCCCCTCTTTCCAGTGATTCTGGGGGCCTGGGGCACCTGGAATTGTCTGGGTGCAGGTGCTGGGGCCTGAGGCATCCCAGGAGTGCCTGGAGCACCGTGTGAGCAAGCTAGCATGCTGACAGCCATTCGTCAGCCCTCTTCTCAAACAGCACACCTCCCCCAGAACCCACCAAGCTTTGGAGTGTTAATTATTGGAGGGAGTCTGCACTGGAGGAGTTAAATGGTACCACTCTGACCAGCCTGAGAGTGGCAGTGTGGCCTGGGTGCAGTGGAGGCAGGGCGGGACGTGCCCAGCTCTGTCTCTGTCAGTCTCTTCTCTGTGTCAGTGAGGGTGGGGGTTCAGGTCTCAATCCAGGGGCTTCTGGACCCCAGTGTTGGCTGTCTCTCCACGCCCTGCCTCTGGAAAGGGGCAGCCATGTCAGGTGCCTGGTCCGGGTGCTGCATTCACTTCGCGTCTCGTTAGTGCTCTGTGTTGATGCTTTTAGATGCCTCCAGTTCAGTCCATGTTGCGGCACTACCAGGTCGGTGCGCCCCTCCAAGCACCATGGCATGAAATGGAGGCTCCTAGAAGCAAGAAGAAAGGTACGAGACCGGCGCGTGGGCCTTGGTGCATTTCTGTGCTTACAGCTCTCCCTCTCATTTTGTATGTGCACTCATGGTTGGGGGAGGACGGGGGCTGGATGTGATTCTAGACACTTCTGTCTAGTGGATAGGACCCGTTGTCAGTGCCTACCACGCTGCCCAAGCCCAGCTTCTGTGTGGCCAGGGCCCGGGGCCCAAACCTGGAGTGGAATTGGCTGGCGAGGCCAGGCGTGATGTTGGCAAATGGCAGAGTGAGGTCAGTTCCTGCTGCGAGGTGGCAGTGGGGTGCGCGCTCCTGTCAGAAGCCGTTGGGGTGAGTGGCGGGCGCTCCGCGGTGCCTGGTGCTCAGCCGAGGGCATGTGGCATGAACCCCTCTCTCCTACCTCACAGAGAAGCAGGGCCCCGAGCGGAAGAGGGTCAAGAAGGAGCCCGCCACACGCAAGGCTGGCCTGCTGTTCGGCATGGGGCTGTCTGGGATCCGAGCCGGCTACCCTCTCTCTGAGCGCCAGCAGGTGGCCCTCCTCATGCAGATGACTGCCGAGGAGTCTGCAAACAGCCCAGGTGAGTGGGGCGTGCAGGCTGGACAGGGAAGGCAGTGAGCCAGAGAGCAGTCCAGGGGCTTCCACAGGGTGTGATCTGCTGCCCAGGTGCCCTCCAGTCACTCTCTGCCCTGTCCCCACCTACAGTAGACACAACACCAAAGCACCCCGCCCAGTCTGCAGTGTGTCAGAAGGGGACACCTAACTCTGCCTCAAAAACCAAAGATAAAGTGAACAAGCGGAACGAGCGTGGAGAGACACGCCTGCACCGAGCTGCCATCCGGGGGGACGCCCGGCGCATCAAGGAGCTCATCAGTGAGGGCGCCGATGTCAACGTCAAGGACTTTGCAGGTATGGCCACCACTGCCCACTGGGCTTGTGGTATGCTGTGGGGGACGGGAGGCTTCTGCCATGATTGGACTAGGCCTTCTACGCCAGTGTCTGGGCTCAGAGACCCCTGGATGCAGTCTTGTCCGTTTGTCCCTGGAGTCTGGTCCATACCCAGCTTCCTTGTGTCTGGATCTCACACTGGGCTGTGGCACCACAGGACTATAGGAGGCTGGCAGTGGGCATGCTTCCGGGTGGTCACCCAAGGGCTGGTGCTGTGCCCAGTGTGATGTAGCTCAGCCTGCACACACATCCCACGTGTCTGTTTCAGGCTGGACGGCCCTGCATGAAGCCTGTAACCGTGGCTACTATGATGTCGCCAAGCAGCTGCTCGCGGCCGGGGCCGAGGTGAACACCAAGGGCCTGGATGATGACACGCCGCTGCATGACGCTGCCAACAATGGGCACTACAAGGTGGGTACTGAACCCCCTTCCATGCCCTGCCCACCCAGGGCTCCCCAGAGGGTGGTGACAGGGTCTGTTGGCCTGAAGAGGCCAGGCACTGTGGCCATCGAGGAGGATGAAGAGCGAGACTGCAAGCAGCCACAGGACCAGGAAGGAGTGCCTGCTGCTGTTCAGAGAAGCTGGTACTTTGTGGCCCTGCAAGACTCTTGGAGGGCTGACCTGTCTTCACTTACACACGAGGCCCCTGCCCTTGGCCAAGCAGCGTGGAGATGTTGGGACAGTGCCCCAAGCTGGTCTCATGGGTAGCTGCACCTTAGAAGGGGTCTGCTCCTGACCCTGCACTTCCCATACATCCAAGATTCTCTGTTCTGAACACGGGCATGCTCAGCGAAAGCCCAGCCTGGAAAGGGGCCTGCAGGTGGTGCCCTGGACATGCACACGGCCCTTCTAAGTGGACAGTTGTGTGTGTGTGTGTGTGTGTGTGTGTGTCCCCGCTGGTCAGCACACACAGAAGTATTTGGCCAGGACTGCCCTCAGCTGACTGCAGCAGGAACTGAATGGTGCCAAAGGATCAGACAGCAGGCCTCCCCAATGGGGTGCAGTCCGTAGATCCCCCTTGACCTGGGACCGCCCATCTGAGGTGGATCAGTCTATGCTGGTTAAGCCACCGAGTGTGGTCAGCTGTGTACTGCTGTCCGGTCAGACCACTGCAGTGCAGGAGGGGGCCCAGCTCACACGTGGCCAAGGTTGAGCCCTGAATCTGTCATTCACGACCGGCCTCCTGACGCACGGCCAGCTGCAGACATGGACAGCACTGCACCCACGTGAGCACATGTGCTGTTCCTCTCCCCCGGGACTCCATGGCCCAGCGTTGGCGGTCAGTACCTCACTCCCTGGGTTCTCGTCCACAGGTGGTAAAGCTGTTGCTGCGCTATGGCGGGAATCCTCAGCAGAGCAACCGGAAAGGCGAGACACCACTCAAAGTCGCCAGCTCCCCAACCATGGTGAACCTTCTTCTGGGCAAGGGCACGTACACGTCTAGCGAGGAGAGCTCCACTGGTGAGCGGGCAGCCTGAGGGGGACACTTGGCCCAGGGCCATGGCTCTCTGGACAAAGCTCTCTTTGATTGGCTGTGGCCTGGCAGTAACTCCTGTCCAGCACCTGTCCTGAGGCCAAGGGCCCTGGGGTTACCGTCCCCTCGGCCAAGTGTCCACAGGGCCGTGTGCTGGGAGGGGCGTTCTGGGCCTGCCTCCTGACCCTCCCCATTTTTCCAGCAGAGAGCTCTGAGGAAGAAGATGCCCCCTCATTCGCACCCTCCAGCTCTGTTGACGGCAACAACACAGACTCTGAATTTGAGAAGGGCCTAAAGCACAAGGCCAAGAACCCGGAGCCCCAGAAAACCATGACCCCGGTGAAGGACGAGTATGAGTTTGACGAGGATGATGAGCAGGACCGTGTCCCTCCTGTGGACGACAAGCACTTGTTGAAAAAGGACTACAGAAAAGAGACCAAGTCCAACAGTTTCATTTCTATCCCCAAAATGGAAGTCAGAAGCTACACGAAAAACAACACGACTGCCCCAAAGAAATCAGCACACCGCATCTTGTCAGACACGTCGGACGAAGAGGAGGCGAGCGCCCCCATGGGAGCAGGGGAGAAGCTGAGACTGTCCGCACACCCCATGCTGCCCGGCAGTAAGACCCGCGAGGCTTCTAACTCCAAGCAGCAAAAGGAGAAAAGCAAAGTGAAGAAGAAGCGGAAGAAAGAAACGAAAGGCAAAGAAGTGCGGTTTGGGAAAAGGAACGACAAGTTCTGCTCCTCTGAGTCTGAGAGCGAGCCGCTGGGGAGCGACGACGAAGGCTCGGTCGGCAGCTCCGGCTGCACCAAGGGGTCCCCGCTGGTGCTCAAAGACCCCTCGTTGTTCAGCTCTCTCTCTGCCTCCTCCACCTCCTCGCACGGGAGCACCGCCTCCCAGAAGCACGCCGCCAACCACAATGACCAGCACACCAAGCACTGGAGGACGGACAACTGGAAAACCATCTCCTCCCCGACCTGGTCAGAGGTCAGCTCCTTGTCGGACTCCACCAGGACGCGGCTGACCAGTGAGTCGGACTCCTCTTCCGAGGCCTCCAGCCTTGAGTCCCTGAAGCCCATCAGGAAGAAACGGGAGCACCGGAAGGGGGGCCTGCAGGGCGCGCTCCCCGAGAAGAAAGGTGTGTTCCACACCAGTGTGGATGGCGTCATCCCGAAGCTGGACAAAGAGGGGAAAGTGGTCAAGAAACACAAAACAAAACACAAACACAAAAACAAGGACAAAGGACAGTGCTCAGTTGGCCAGGAGCTGAGGCTCAAGAGTCTGACTTATGAGTACGAGGACTCCAAGCAGAAGGTGGACAAGGCTGTCCTTCTCGACAGTGATCTTCCCACGGAAAACAAGCTCAAGGCACTGAAGCACGACCGAGACCATTTCAGAAAAGACGAGAAACTGAGCAAAATGAAGTCAGAAGAAAAAGAATGGTTATTCAAAGAGGAGATAATCAAAGTCTCCAAAGATGAGAAGTCACTTAAGAGACTCAAAGACTTGAGTAAAGACGTTGCCAAGTGTTTCCGTGACGAGAAGGAGCGCACCACCAAGCTGGAGAAGGACAGGCTGCTGAAGGAGAAGTCCCCAAAGGAGGAGAAATTGCGGCTATACAAGGAGGAGAGAAAAAGAAAGTCCAAAGACCGGCCATCCAAGCTGGACAGGAAGGGCGACTCCAAGGAAGACAGGCTGTCCAAAGAGCGGGAGCGGGCTTTCAAAGACGACAAACTCAAAAAGGAAAGGGCACACCGGGAAGACTGTGCTTTTGACGAATACTGTAACAAGCACCAGTTCCTGGACAGTGAGGACACCAAGCTCAGCCTCTCTGACGACCAGCAGGAGCGCTGGTTCTCTGACATGTCTGACTCGTCCTTTGACTTCAAAGAGGAGGACAGCTGGGACTCTCCGGTCCCCGACTACCGGGACCTGAAGAGCGACTCTGTGGCCAAGCTCATCCTGGAGACGGTGCGTGAGGACGTGAAGGAGAAGAGGCGCGACAGCAAGGGCCGGGAGAAGAGGGAGCACAGCGAGCGGCGCGGGGACAGAGACGCTGTCTTCAGGAAGAGAGACAGGGACTACCTAGACAAAAACCCTGAGAAGAGAAAAGACCTGACAGAGAAGCATAAGAATGTCCCCGCCTACCTGACAGACAAGGACAAGAAGAGGAAAGAGCCAGCAGACAGCATCCGAGAGCGCAAGGACAAGGACCTGGGGGACGTCTGCAGGGACAGAAAGGACTCCTTCGAGAGTGCCAAGGAGAGGAAGGACGGCCGCATGAAGCCGGAGGAGGCCTACAGAGAGGACCTCAAGGACTTCAGCACTGACAGCTTTTTCAAGGACAAGTCCGACTCTGACTTTGTGAAAAGTCTAGAGTCTTGGGAGAGGCATCACTCAGTGAAAGACAGAGACAAGAAGGACAGTGTCGACAGAGAGAAGCGAGAGAAAGGAAAACCAGACAGATACAAAGAGAAGTCCAGTGACAAAGACAAGAATGAAAAATCCGTCCTCGAAAAGACTCAGAAAGACAAGGAATTTGATAAATGTTTTAAGGAGAAAAAAGAGACTAAGGAAAAACATAAAGATATGCTGCATAATAAAGACAAAGAAAGAAAAACTTCTCTTGATCAAGTTAAAGAAAAAAAGGAAAAAACTTACCCTGGGATTCTCTCCGAAGACTTCTCTGAAAAAAAAGATGACAAGAAGGGTAAGGAGAAGAGCTGGTACATTGCCGACATATTCACAGATGAAAGTGAAGACGACAAAGATGAGTACACCAGCAGTGGATTCAAACTGGGTGAGGCCGGAGAGACGCAGCGGACAGAGTGCCCGCAGGACCGGGACGAGGGCAAGGACCCCTACCCCGCAGACAAGCACCGCAAGTGCTCCTCCGACAAGCAGAAGGAGCCCAAAGACAAGAAAAAGGACAGAGGGGCCACTGAGGGGGGCAAGGACAGAAAAGACCGACTCTTCGAAAAGCACAAAGACAAGAAGGACAAGGAGTCCACAGAGAAGTACAAGGACAGGAAGGACAGGACCTCAGTGGACTCCACCCAGGAAAAGAAGAGCAAGCAGAAGGTCCCCGAGAAGGCTGAGAGGAAGCACTCAGCAGAGGACAAGGCCAAGAGCCGCCACCGAGACAAGTGTGACAAGGAACACTCCAAGGAGCGGAAGTCTTCCAAGGGGGCCGACGTGGAGAAGAGCTTACTGGAGAAGCTGGAGGAGGCCGCTCTCCATGAGTTCCGGGAAGACTCCAACGACAAGATCAGTGAGATCTCCTCCGACAGCTTCGCCGACCGCGGCCAGGAGCCTGGGCCCGCTGCGCTGCTCGAGGTGACCTTCACAGAGCCCCCTGAGGACAAGGCCCGTGAGAGCACCTGCCTGCAGGACAAGCTCAAGGAGAGGCACCGGCACTCCTCGTCCTCCTCCAAGAAGAGCCACGACCGAGAGAAGGGCAGGAAGGAAAAGGCAGAGAAGAAGGAGCGGGCCGAGGACTACAAGGAATGTGGCCGGAAGGACTCCAGCCAGTACGACAAGGACTTCCTGGATGGGGAGCCCTTCGGCCTTCCCTACAGCACGAAAGCCGACGTGGACGACGAGCTGGAGAAAACAATTGAACTGTTTGCGACCGAAAAGAAGGAGAAAATGGATTCTGAAAGAGAGCCTTCCAAGAAGATAGAGAAAGAGTTGAAACCTTACGGGTCCAGTGCCATCAGCATCCTGAAAGAGAAGAAGAAGCGGGAGCGGCACAGGGACAAGTGGCGAGAGGACAAGGAGAAGCACCGAGACCGGCACCCGGATGGCCTCCTCCGGCACCACAAGGACCCCCTCCCGAACCTCAGCCTCAAGGACAAGGCCAAAGAGGAGAACCTGAAGCTCGGGGAGGCCAAGGCCAAGGAGAAGTTCAAGGAGAGCCAGGAGAAGGGCGACTCAGCCAAGGTCAGCAATGGGAACGAGAAGCTGCCCCCGTCCCGGGACCCCGGGCGAAAAGAGCCTCGCCCTCGAGAGAAGCTGCTGGTGGACGGAGACCTGATGATGACGAGCTTCGAGCGCATGCTCTCCCAGAAGGACCTGGAGATCGAGGAGCGCCACAAGAGGCACAAGGAGCGCATGAAGCAGATGGAGAAGCTGCGGCACAGGTCCGGGGACCCGAAGCTCAAGGACAAGGCCAAGTCGGCAGAGGACGTGCGGAAGAAGAGCCTGGAGCTCCCAGCCAGGAAGCCGCTGGGGGTGGACGCACAGCTCCGAGACAAGAAGCCCAAGGAGGCGCTGGCACCCACCCTGCCCACCACTGACAGCAAGGGACCCCCGGGAGCAGGCTCAGAGCCCAAGGACTGGCTGGCAGGGCCCCAGATCAAGGAGGTCTTGCCCGCCTCTCCCAGGCCCGACCAGAACCGGCCCACCGGGGTACCCACGCCCACGTCGGTGGTCTCGTGCCCCAGCTATGAGGAGGTGATGCATACACCCCGCACCCCATCCTGCAGCGCCGACGACTTCTCTGAGCTCATGTTCGAGTGCAGCGACTCACAACACGCTGCACCAGCCACCACGCCCGCCACCGCCTGCTCTCCCTCCTTCTTCGACCGCTTCTCGGCCGCCCTGAGTGGCCTCCCCGAGAACCCCAGCCAGACCCCCACTCGGACTCTGTCTACCAGCCTCTACCGCTCTGTGTCTGTGGACACACGCAGGACATCCGAGGAGGAGTTTGGTGTAGGGGACAAGCTATTCAGGCAGCAGAGCGTCCCGGCCACTGGCAGCTACAGCTCCCCAACCCGACACCTCCTGGACGACAAGGCCCCCCCGGCCCCAGAAAAGTTCCCCTGCTTGTCCCCAGGGTACTACTCCCCAGACTATGGGGTCTCCTCCCCAAAAGCAGAAGCGTTGCACTGCGCACCCACAGCCACTGTCAGTGCCACGCCATCCCCAGAAGGGGTCTTCTCGAGTTTACAAGCCAAGTCCTCGCCTTCCCGCAGGGACGAACTCGCGGCCCCTTCACTGGAGGGTGCCCTCCCCCCCGACCTGGGCCTCCCTCTGGACGCCACAGAGGACCAGCAGGCCACAGCCGCCATCATCCCCCCGGAGCCCAGCTACCTGGAGCCCACCGACGAGGGCCCATTCAACACCGTCATCACCGAGGAGGATGCGGGCGAGTGGGCTCACCCTGCTGCCCCCGAGCAGCCCCTTCCTTCCAACCTCGTTGGGGGTGTCCCCGAGAACTCCAGCTGGCCCCCTGTGGGGGCAGACTTGCTGCTCAAGTCCCCACAGAGATTCCCAGAGTCCCCCAAACATTTCTGTCCCTCAGACACCCTGCACCCTGCTGTCCCCGTGCCCTCATGCCCAGCCTCTCCACTCTCGTACTCACTGCCAGTCCCTGAGCCAGGGCTGGGTGAGGCTAAGGAGGATGTGGTGGAGGCAGGGCCCGTGGGGGTCTCCTCCTCAGAGGAACCAGCCCCATACACCCCTCCCACTCGGCTGCCGGCCACCTTCTTCACCTGCAAGCCCCTTGTGGAGGTGGCGGGCGACACAGCCACCGAGCCCACGTGTGTGGCCACCACACAGGTGGAAGCCCTGGGGCCCCTAGACGGTCAGTACCTGGAGGCCCAGGAGGAGCCTGTGCCCTGGCCAGATCCCTTCACAAACCCTGAAGATGACCTGGACCTGGGGCCCTTCTCCCTGCCAGAACTCCCACTACAGGCGAAAGATGTGTCGGACGTGGAGACAGGGCCCGTGGATGAGGGGCCTCCTGTCCCCCAAGAGCAAGCAGCTCCAGGGGCCCCTACGCTCGGGAGCAGCGGGGACTGTGTCACAGTGGCCACTGAGGACTCAACACCCCCTGACCAGGCATCCACACAGCTCGCCGACCCCACCCCTACAGAGGAGCCCACAGGGCCAGCGGCTTTAGATGCTGTGGTGCCGGCAGTGGGCACGTCGGAAGAGAGCTTCCCAGAGGACCTGCACCCTGTCCCCTCAACAGTGCCGGTCCCCAAGGAGCTCCCTGCAGCTGAGTGTGGGGCCGAGGAGCCAGAGGCCACAGGTCCCCCAGCAGCACCCCATTCTGCCCCTGTAAGTCCCCCGACTGATACCTCTGATGGGGCCAGCCTTGCTGATGGTGTTGGCCATGCTGCAGCCCATGCAGAGGCTGCCCCAGGTGGCATCCACTCAGAACCCGCAGACCCGGCTCCCAAGGCACCGACAGAGGCCCCGAAACCACCCCGGGTGGAGGAGATCCCTCAGCGTATCACCAGGAACCGGGCACAGATGCTGGCCAACCAGAGTAAGCAGAGCACGCCACCCCCTGATAAGGAGCTCCCACCTGCTGCCCCGGCCACCAGGGCCAAGGGCCGGGTCCCCGAGGATGAGGATGCCCAGGCCCAGCACCCCCGCAAGCGTCGCTTCCAGCGCTCCAGCCAACAGCTGCAGCAGATGAACACTTCGACACAGCAGACACGCGAGATGATCCAGCAGACACTGGCTGCCATCGTGGACGCCATCAAGCTGGACGCGATCGAGCCCTACCACAGCGATAGGGCCAACCCCTACTTCGAGTACCTGCAGATCCGCAAGAAGATCGAGGAGAAGCGCAAGATCCTCTGCTACATCACGCCGCAGGCGCCCCAGTGCTATGCTGAGTATGTCACCTACACCGGCTCCTACCTCCTGGATGGCAAGCCCCTCAGCAAGCTGCACATCCCAGTGGTGAGTGTCGGGGGACGGGACAGAGTCCAGGCAGGCTCCACGCCCCTGTGCCCATGCCCGAGGGGTCCGAGGATAAGGTGTGCCTCGGAACCCCGGCACATAGCCCCTGATGCCTGCCTCCTGGGACCTTCCAGGCACAGTGACCAGCTGACCCAGGATGGTTCATGACTGGGGAGCAGCGTGGAGGGATCACAAGGGGCCCTCCAGGAGCTACCCGCCCCAGTCTGTGTGCTGCCCCTCACCTACATGAGTGACTGACCTGACTATCGGAATAGCCAGCCTTGCCAAGAATTTTGTGGCCGAGGCCCTTCTCAGAGGCCAGCAGTGTTGTGTGTTCCGAGAAAGGGGTGGCGGGCTTGCTGTCCCGTGCTGCCCACTGACCTCCTGCTCTGTCTGCAGATTGCGCCCCCTCCATCTCTGGCAGAACCCCTCAAGGAGCTGTTCAAGCAGCAGGAGGCCGTGAGGGGGAAGCTCCGCCTGCAGCACAGCATTGAGCGGGTAGGACCCGGGCCAGGGGCGAGGACAGGGACAGGGACAGGACACCCAGGCTGACCCCATCTCCCCACAGGAAAAGCTGATCGTGTCCTGTGAGCAGGAGATTCTGCGTGTGCACTGCCGGGCAGCCAGGACCATCGCAAACCAGGCTGTGCCCTTCAGCGCCTGTACCATGCTGCTGGACTCAGAGGTCTACAACATGCCCCTGGAGAGCCAGGTGGGCCGGTCCCGTCCGCCACCCTTTGAGTAGCCATGGCGAGAAGGTTCATCAGGTTGGGGCTGTGTCCCTGCCGCCATTGTGCTCTGGCCTGGTGGGGAGTCCATCTCCTGGCCACATAGCCCATAGAGCAACTTCCATCTCCGCTCCAGCAGGGATGACTGTCCCACATGTGCGGATGGACACTGCAGGTCCTGTTGTCACTTGAGAAGGGAGCCTTGCCACTAGGTGGCTAGGGTCACCAGCGTCCTGCCTCTGACCCCTGTGCTTGTCTCCTCCGGCAGGGTGATGAGAACAAGTCCGTGCGAGATCGCTTCAATGCAAGACAGTTCATCTCCTGGCTGCAGGACGTGGATGACAAATATGACCGCATGAAGGTCAGTCTCCTCTCCAGCCTGGACAGGGCATGTGAGCCTGCCCTAAGGTCATGGTCCCTGCCGAGGGGATGACCATTGGGGCTGCTTCCTGACACTCAGAACACCTGTGAGAACCAATGAGGGAGCGGCTGGGCCTTGTGAACAGGGCTGTCCTGCTGGGGCTCTCACATCACAGTGCAGATTGACCAGAGGGGGAGGCAGTCAGGCCCCAAGACTCCCACCACTCCGTGGTCCATAGTCACAGCTAAAAGGTTTATCAGCATGGAATCCTGTGTCCCTGGAGGCACTTCCTCGAGGGGCTGTGCTGCCGACACTGAGGGGGTTGGGCTGCACCAGCTGCTCCGCATGGGAAGATGGGCGTCCTCCTCCCCATGGTTCCAGGCTTGGAATCCCACCGGAGCATCAGCACGAGTCAGTTCTGAGCCAGTGGCAGAGGGGGTTGGGGGCTGAGAGGCTGCCCATGGAGAGTGAGAAGACGGGGAGAGTTCACCAGATCTATTAAAAAAGCATCCATGAGGATGGATGTGTGACCATCACCCAGACATCAGCATGAAGGGCCAGGTGACAGGTGTTAAGAGTAAAAGTCAGAAGTGTAATCATCCAGAAATGTGAACCAGAAAAGTCCCTGAACGGTTGTGGAGTCGGGGAGAGAAGGAGGTAGCTGCATACAGCGTGTGGGATCCTCATCTGGGGTGCAGGTCCACATGATGAAGCCTTGGGACACACCCTACGTGGTTGTCAGGTCAGCCTCCCTAGGGCACCTGAGGGACTACTTGCCAGTATAGAGCAGGTTTGTGCATGTGTGGGAGCCAACACCCTGGCAGCCAACAGCGTTGCAAAGTGAATGTGACCCAGGGTCACCTTCTTCTCACATCTGTGGGGCCCTCGTCGCAGCTCCCAGCAGGGCCAAGTGCTATGGACACGCGTCTCCCAGGCCCTGCCTGCGGCTCGAGAGTAGAGCTGCTGAACTTTCTCTGGAAAAGGAAGGCCACAGATCCTGTGTTTGCACCCATCAGTGTCTTTGCAGCCCTGCCAATGTCTCACAGCACTCTTGTCGTTTTCACCTGTCACAAAGCAACATTCTCAATATTCCAGCCATTTGAATCCTTTTGTTCTTGGCTCATCAAGAGCCCAGAGCAGTGTTCCCTGCCAGGCTGCCCCAGTAGCACCGCCCTGACCACGCGATGTGTCTCACTTCATGATTCTGACACGGTGTGGGTTTAGATGCTGGACCTCTGGCGTCAGATGGAGTCCTCTCGAGATGGACAGGCGGCAGAGCCCAGGCAGGCCCCCTTTCCAACCGATGCTCGCAGGGTTTCTCCTGTTGGCTCTCAGACCTGAAAGTTTATCACCATTCTTCAAAGAGTGAAATGCTACTCCTTGCTGTATGCACAGCGGCTCCTAAGTGCTTTAGGTTTGGGGTCACTTTACTTGAACAAATTTGTCCTTATCTGGGGTCCTGGAAGCAATGGTCTGAGGTGGGGGCTCCTCGGCCATCTTGGTGATCCAGCCACAGCAGCTGGTCTTCCCCACCCCTTCTGCTCAGCTCTCAGTTTATCTGACATTGAAGTGAAGCCTTCATGCACCACAAGCAGATCCCAGAGCCACCTCACAAGGGGCATGCTGCCACATCCCAGGGCACCCCTGAGTCCTGTTAAGGGCTTTTAACAATGACATGCCTTCTTAATGTAAGTTACTAGGATTTAATGAGACCTGTTTTCATTGTCTGCAAAGTTCCTGGACAGTTCTGAGTGTCCCCATCAGTCACCTCCGAGTGCCATCTGTCCCTGGGTCACAGGGGCCAGAGACTCTTCACCTTGGCAGGCCTCTGCCAAGGCCTGAAGCCCTCTCTTTGCCATGACCTGGTTAGTGGGTGGGTGTCCAATCTGTGCCTCTGCCCCATAAAGCCTGTCTGTCTGTCCATCCACCCACAGACCTGTCTGCTGATGCGGCAGCAGCATGAGGCAGCTGCGCTCAACGCCGTCCAGAGGATGGAGTGGCAGCTGAAGGTGCAGGAGCTGGACCCTGCAGGGCACAAATCCCTGTGCGTCAATGAGGTGCCCTCCTTCTACGTGCCCATGGTTGATGTCAACGACGACTTTGTGCTGCTGCCGGCATGACGCAGGAGGGGACGAGGGACACGGCC